TATCTGTTTTTGTGGGTAGGTGATTCCATTACGTGAATGTCACAATTTAAAGTTCAGTGAAATACAGTAAGTTAATAAAAGGAAGTGGGATTTTCGGGGGGAGGGGGCTTGAGAACTGCTTCTCATTGTACAAATCTGCAATAAATTTAAACCCCCTAACACAGAAAGAAGAACAACTAGGGAACAGAAGGCCATTTAATGGTCTGAAAGAAATGAATAGCTTGGTACTCTTCCAGTATATGTGCTGAATGGACTGGAACATCACTGGAATTATTAGAGTAAGTGTGAAGCAGCCCATCTTATTAAATAGGATCAGTTGAGTGACCAAAGGCCACCTTATGGACAAACATAATTATTATCTTAATTTAGCAAATGAGAAAATGTGAGGTTTTGAAAAGTTAAATGTCTTCCTCAAGATCATGTAACTAGTAAGTATTAGTTCAAGACTTGAACCTAGAACTTCTGAATCCAAGTCTAATGTTCTTTCTACTGCACTCCTACTGCTATTCAGTCTATTAAGATGAAGGGGAAGAAAGTAATGGTGAAGTCACTATCTATTAAATAATGGAGTTATATGTGTGTGTGCATGTGTGTGTGTGTATACATTAAGAAGGTTGTTTAGACAAGAATGAAAAAAATGACAGATCATACTAAAATATTTTGAATTCCAAGTTATATCAAATTATGCTCCAATATTCCCCCAATATATAAACACTTAATTCATTTTTTTAAAGTCAAAAGAATTATGAACTATTAGCAATCATATAAAAGAATGCTCTGAATCACTAATGATAAATGAAAATCAAAACATCTCTGAGATTTTTCCTAACATCCATTAAATTATCAAAGATGACAAAAATAAGGATTATCTATACTAGAAGGGTTATGGAAAGATATTGATGGAACTCTGAATTATTATAACCATTCTAACTGTAACTATCAAAACCAAATAGCAATTTAGAATTATGGTTAAAAAATAGCAAAAATGTCAATACCCATTGATGCAGAAGTTCTACTACTAGTCATATCTCCTTAGTGCCCCCAAAAGATACCACCTGCACAAAAATATTTCTAGCAGCACTTTCTGCAGCAGTAAATTAATGGGTATGAAGTACATACCCATTGATTAGAGGATAACTAAACAAATTATGGTACATCAACATAATGGAATTTTACTGTGCTCTAAGAAAGGATGAATATGATGAATGAAGAGAAGCATGGGAAGACTGAAACAAAACTGATCCAAAGTGAAATAAGCAAAACTTGGAAAATAATATATACAACTACAATATTGTTAATGGAAAGAGCAATAAACAATCAAAACTGAATTTCCTGAAACTATAATGGCCCAGCTTGGTCTTAAAGGAGACTATGAAAAGTCATCTCTATTCCCTGTTTCTTAGGAAAGATGGGAATGGCTATGAGTGAGGAACACTGTATATAATGACAGAAGGCTCTCTGAGAGGGTGAAAGGAGGAGGATATATCAGAAAAAATATGATAAAATGTTTTTAAAAGAAAAATGTTAGATTAATAAACTATTTACCAGGAAATTGAAGAAAGTAAAAGCATTCCTGTTAAAATTAAAATTTATAAAACAAAGCGAAGACTGCTTTATTTGTATTATTTTTTAAAGATATGTTTTATGAATAGGTTTAGATAGCATATCTATTGTTGTCCATCCTTTGTTCTCAAGGAGGACCAATGACATCAGGAAGGTGATATCTTGACTTGCAAGTGAATTAGATTTAAGTGAGGCAGGGCTGTGCAAAGTTACCAGCCTCCCTTCTCCAGAACCATCCAGATGCAGTGGCAAGACATAGATCAGGACGACTGGAGATGGCCCAAGATACAGAAGGAGACTTTGCACTTTTTAAACTAAGGTCTTTCCCAGGTCTGTTTGTCTGAGGCAACACCCATTTAGTGATTAAGGTTAGGTAATAAATGAGGTGAAAATGGCTTCTTTAGCAAATCTAGAGAAGGTATACAGAAAATATACAGTATACAGAAAATGAACAGAAGAGATAATCAGACCTTAAGAATATTTTTACCTGGGATAAAAACAATTGACAGAAAATAACTTATTCAAGATTTCATAACTAATGAGTGAAGGATCTGGAACTTGAATCCAAGCCCTTTGGAGCAAAATCTTCTTTCTACTATACTATATAATCTTATTTTCAAGATTCAAAAATTGAGTCAGAAAGCTGTGGTGACTTGCCATGGGCCTTATAGCTAGTAAATGGCAGAGCCAAGTATTTGGAAATTTCTTGTCTGGAAGAGGAATTATACATGTTTGCTTCCAGAAGAAAATAGGTGCAAAAGGGAAAAAATAGGAAGTAGTTATTTAATTTGAATAAAGGAAAAACTTCTTATCAATTAATTATCCCAAAGAAGAATCGTCTTTCATTGAAGGCCTTATCTTGAACCACTTGTCAGTATGTCGTAGTGGAGATTCTTTTTTATATTCAGGTTAGATTATTTGGCCTCTGAAATCCTTTCCACCCAAAGATTCTGTGGAAAGGCATGTGCTTGCCCTCATGCCATGATGTGGCATGAAATGGGGGGTTGGATGAGGACTTTTAAAAGGCAGGGTAAGAGAAATAAGTGTAGCAGCAATATGCTCAAACTGAGATTGGTGGTAGGGTTGAGAGGATATGTATCAAGGACGGGGAGACTGCTTAGGTGAGTTGGCAACCTAACTAATTACCACAGCCATGAGAAGACAAGTAGCTAGCCCTGTGAGATGGTCTCCACAGAGATTAAAATCTATTCAAAGCATGCTCATAAGACAATAAAAGAACTGTGACTCAAGGCCTAGAGATAGTAGTCATCACAGAAAAGTCTTTTCTCAGGGAGGAAACAATTTCTATCATGTAGCTACCCTGGTACAAAGCCATTCAGCTGTCTATCCCCATGTTAGATACGCCTCTGCATATGATCCCAAAGAGCTATTCATTACTCAATTAAATTCAGCAAATACGTAATAAGAACTGTGAGTAAGACACATGGAGCAATAGGTACATAGTATTTCACACACATACATATGTGTTTGTGTGTGTGACACAGAGAGAGAAAGAGAGAGACAAGAGAGACAGAGACAGAAAGACACATAGAGACAGAGACAGAAACAGAGAAGGAGAGACAGAGACAGAAAGAGATCCATGGTTTTGACACACAAAGTACCTTCAACCATTATCTGGGGGATCCACTTAGCAAAAAGCTACTTTAAACAAACATTTTTATTTCCAGCTAATGGTACCCCATTTTTCCATATGGCCATGTGGGTTCTGAGTAGGAGTGAAAACTTAGCTATTTTTCCTTTGACTTCTTTCCCTTTCTACTTTTTTCTTACTTTCCTTTTCTTGGAAGACTTCAGCCACTAACATCTTTTAGTCATGGGGATAGAATACATGCTTTACTAAAAGACTCATATAAAACTCTTGTCCATTAAACCTGACAGTAGGAAGTGCTAAAGGGCAAAAACCCAAGACATTAGTAAATGCCCACTCACCTCAAGTTCAAAGTAAATATACTTGTCCCCTAAAAAAATATTTTCTCTCCAATGAATTGGAGAAAAACAGATACAAGGCTGTTTTTATTCTCCCTTTGCCTGTTGGTAGGATTTTTTTACTTTATTATCTTAGAGAGTATAATTCAATTTTTAAGAAGAGAGATTATTTTCTTCTGAGAGGATAAAAAATTAGCACCCAAAAGAAAATCCAGGTTCCACAAGGGAAATAAGAAAAATATTTTTAATATCCAAAGGTCAATCAGGGGGGAGCCTTTTCCCTTCCATTCATTCTGGAAGGAATTGAATATTGATGGCCAGACATTACTTTAAATGTTGTGAAACAGTAATATTAGTGCAGCTGAGTCATTTTTTGCTCAGCAGGGAATCTGTGTCAACAAAGTTAGGGAATATGGGACACTAGGAGGAGCTTCAGTTACCAAGTTTAGCACCAATGTATCTGTGAAATCACTACACGTTCTATCTTATATGACTTTGTCTATGCTCCAAAAGATTTCTTTACTCCTTCTAAATCTCTTATAGAAGTGGCTGCTTGATAGGAAAGCTAGGCACAGCTAAGATCCAATGGGGATAACACAGTTAAAAATACTTCAAATGAAACATACCACTTACTGAGTAGGTGAACATTCTTTTTTTTTCAAAGTTGTAGACATTTTAAAGTTATAGAATCAACCCATCATTATCTTTGGTACCCTTGCTCATATTTCATAAGTAGGAATCATCGCTGCTGTGAGGCTAGTGCTCTTTCTCTATTTACCCACCATTCACACCTGTACTCTAATGCTTCTTCCTGTCCCAGACAGATTTTCAATCTGGTCCAAATGCCAGTGTACAAACCTTCTCCTGGACCATTTTGTTTAACACACTCCTGAGATTTAGCACCCTGAAAGCCAGGCTAGGAAAGAGGCTACTTCTTGAACAGGAACAATGGCTGAAGTAGAGAAAGCAGAAAGAGCAGAAAGGATCATGGGAGAAGCAAGGGACATGAATAGATGAAGAGGAATCCTGAATGACCAGCAACACTAAGAACAGAGAAAGAGGGAACAATGGATTTACTTGAGCTACAAACATCCTTCCATTAAAATGGATAATGGAAAATCAAATGCATCTATCAGACAAGTACAATGAAGTAAGGAAAATTAATACATCTGTTCACCCATCAAATTTATTCAGGTGAATAGTCCTTTCTTTTTGAAGGTATACAAATATTTGCCCTTCCATTAACTTGTGTAATCAAAAGACAAATGTGGCACAGAGTGTACTGTTTGGGGTATTATTTGTCTTATCATTAGCTGAATAATATATCAAATTTCATGTAAAACATAAATAAACCTGGCCTATTTTAAAGGACAGTTAAACACAAAGTTGGTGCTGAATGTCAGCATGAGATGGGTTCTTACAGTTGTCTCCCTCTTTGTATTAGACCAATTCTGTTTGATTTCCATTTCGAAATCAAGAAATGAACGTACCGTCCTGACCTCCAGCCATCTGTTGGCAGCTGAGAGAAATAAATAGGCTATGTTGTTTGTGTCTGTCAGCTCTAGCATGCGTTGCTTAAATCTGGTTTCATGCCTGCAGAAAACAAAAAAAAATGTTATGATGTTAGTCACACAATAGGAAAAATAATAAAAAAAAAAACCAGCCACTTACTACTACTTCACTGCTTGCTCAACATAGTGACAAATTAATGGAGATAGAATAGTAAATGGACTCCTACTTAAAATCAAGGTCAACTGCTACTGCTCTACTGTAGTGTTAATACAGATGGTACAAACAGAGATTTTCCTTTCTTGCACTACAGCTGAGAAAAAAGAACTTCTAGAAGAAACTTTCTTCTTTATAATTAGCAAATTTTATTTTTGACAAAATAAAAAATGCAATCTTTGAAAATAGCTAATAAAAACCAGAAAAAGGACTCCAAATGATTGTACATGGAATCTTATAATTTTTATATGATATTTGTTAAGAGAAAAAGAAGCTATTTGTTTTCATTTCAATCAAGTAGAGGGTTGTTTTTGTTTTGTTTTGGTTTTGTTTTTTAAGGTGGTCTTTATTTACATAGTTACAATGAGTTATTCTTTTGGATTTACTTTCTTCACTCTGTATCACTTCTCATAAGTATTCTTTTTTTAATTTTTCATGTCCATCACTTTTGAGGCAGTCATATTCTAATACATTCATATGCCACAATTTTTTAAAGAATTTTCCAGTTATTAGATATAGTTTATTTCCAGCTCTGTGCTTTTATAAAGATTGCTGTTATTAATGGTTTTATACATATAGCTCTTTTCTTCTTGTCAGTGATCAACTTTTAGTATAAACAATATCGATAGGATCACTGGGTCAAGAAGTGTGGAAAATTTCATATTACTTTCCAAAGTAGTCAGACCAATTCATAGCTCCAACAGCAGTAGCAGAAAATCAAATATGTTGCTTTTCCAATATAGATTTTTTCATCTTCTACAATTTTTTCCAACTTCATAGGTGTAAGGTGATAGCTCAAAGTTTTTAAAATTAGCATTTATATGAATATTAGTTATTTTGAACACTCTCAGATAATGTTATTGTTATGTTTATTATAATTTTTGTTGTTTATTTAATTTGGTCTTTGAGCACACTCATTATTTAAGAAAGCATTTTAAGTCTCCAATTGGGCCTACTTTTTGTTTTCTTTACTGATTTTTATTTGTATCTTCTGTTAAGGGGTCTGATACTAATTTCATTGTGCAATGATTAGTAGTTTCTGTTTCTATTTGAGTTTAACACTATTGCCTTAGACCATAATCAAATTTTATAAAAATATAATGTATGGAGGAAAAGAGTTCTTCATAAATTCTATTCAATTCTATATATTAAATTAATATCAATAAAATTTTTCATTATTTTCTTCAGCTTGTTAATTCCATCTCATCTTTCAAGTTTGACTTGTCAAGATCTGATAGAGGACCATATAAGTCTCCTTTAATAACTCCTTACCATCCAATTATTTTACATTTCAATTCAACAGATATTTAAATGTTAGGCACAGGGAATAAAAAAAACCCCAAGCTTGAAATAATCTTTGCTCACAAAGAGCTTCTGGAAGAGAATGACATGCACACAGATAAGCAAATACAAAATAAATGCAATTTTGTGGGCAGGGGAACACTAATAACTGGGAATCTCAGGTCTTGGGAAGGAGGTAAAATTCAAGCTAAGCCTCAAAAGAAGCTAGAGACTCTAAGAGGCAAAAGTAAGGATAAAGAGATTTCCAGGCATAGGGGTTTCGTCTATCCCAAGGCAAAAGAATGAAAGGTAGAATATCATATGAAAGAAAGACACATTGATTGAAAGGTAGAGTTGGTAAGGGAGGAGTAATTGAAATTATTCAAAAAGCCAGATTATGTAAATGCAAAAGAGAGGAGTTTGTGTTTTATCTTATAGGAGAGAGCGAACCACTGAAGACCCTTGAACAGGAGAACGGCTTGTCCATACTCACCTAAGGCACAGAGGCCAGTTAGGAGGCTATCATATCATGAATTTAGAGCTAGAAGGAACCCTACAAATCATCTCATCTAACCCCCTAGATTTTCAGATTAGGAAACCAAGGTCTAGAGAAGTGAAGTGACTGATCTAGATCATGTAGTTAGTAAGTAGCTAGACAGTTTTTGATATGTGAGTTGTTTGCTCAAATGGCTTTTAAGATCTTTTTCTCACTGAAGAACTGGAGTTTAGTGATTACATTTCAGGATGAATTAAATTTGGAGTTTCTCTCTGTCAAAATTCCATGACTTTCATAGACTTGGACTTTGTCTTCCATTTTCAATACTTCCAGGAAAAGTACATGTATACTTTTTTTTAAGTATGGCATTCAGACAATTAGTCCTTTATATTTTTCCTTAGTGACTAACAATTCTCAGTTTGTACTGACAAGCTATGTTCTTTAGATCTGTTACTTAAATTTGCAGCAATCACAATTCTCCCAGTTTAATTTAACAGCCTTTGCATTTTGTCTTCCACTTGGACCATTATATTTCTTACAGCATCCACTCATTTATAAAATTTTTCCACCTACTGTTTTAAGCTACCAAGACTCAAGTCATTCTTTTTCATTTTTTCCTTTCACTGATTTTAATTACATTTTTAAACATGCCAGAACTTCCCTATTTCTCTAATTAACCACTTTGAAGTTTCTTGCAAGTTCCAGTTTTACTTCTGGGGAGCTTTTGGTTATATTATTCTTTCTTTTTGGAAACATCATTTTTTCTTTTACTTCTAAAGTATTTATTCACTGTATTCAGCTTGATTTTAGTAGATGACCTCTAAGGTCATTTCCATCACTAAATCTTATGATTTCACAAAACTGGGTCATTGGATTAAAAGTAATCTTGGATCTCACAATGACCTACATTGGCCTGTAATATATGAAAAAAATATATTGTGCAGACAACTTAAACATTTATCTGTGATCAACTAAGTTCATTCTGGGTTCAAAGTTTTCAAGATAATTTTTCCATAACCTGATTTACAAATAAAACTGTTAATGAAAACCTTATTCATTTGAGTATGTATTCTATTCTCTCACAAAAAGCCATGCTATGTGGTAATAAATCTTCTCTAAATTACAAAAAAAAGTTTCTTTTCATTTTTCTATTATTTTCCCCTGATGATAGCAACAATAGAAAGGCTGCATAATACAATCACAAAAGCTGGTTCAGATCTTGATGAAATGCCAAATCAAAGTAGTGAGGTTTGTTCAACCTCAGCAACCATGAATCATCTTGCACGGACTTCGTGTTTAAGGATTATGTTGAAATAAATAACCTAGTTATCATTCTAAAACCAGAGAGGTGTTTCTTTTTGACCATTTCTGAAGTCTAAAATTTTTTTAAATATAAGACTTTTAGATAAACCATTACTTATATCTGATGATCAAAGAGTAACTCATGAGCTATGCAGCAAATACAGCCTCCTTGATCATCCAGTCATATATACATACATATATACACATACATATGTGTGTGTGTGTGTGTGTGTGTGTGTATGTATGTGTACACATCCAGTAACACATATAGGACAAATTCTAATTACTTGATTAATGTAGGTGGCCAAACCAGGATAATTTGATAAGTCATCAATATCTGATTTCTACTAATCAAATTATTGTACTACACATTTGATTGGTACCAAACTATTACCTTGCTGTCTTGTGTAGATATAATTTGAATTTTATGCAAAATAAGACATGCCTTGTATATTCATACACTGGTGGATGAGGTAAGGGCAAATTAAAAAAAAATCACATTACCATAAGATCTCAGAGCAGAAAGATCAAGAGGATCTTTTCTAATGGCCCAATCTGTATTTTTACTCTTCTATTTTTTAATAAGAATTCAGAGATCATCTCATCCATTTCATATCTGAACTAGAACTAATAGGTCTTCAGTGACATAGAGCAAACTAGTTCCCAAGAAATCCCATTCCATTTTTGGACCACACTAATTGTTTTAAAAAAAATTTAATGAATAAATATTTATTTTCTCTCTCCACTACCTCCTCTCCCTCATAAAAAAAGCAAAACCATCTAACAAATTTGCATAGCGAAACAAAACAAATCCATCATCATTCAATGGACCATTGCTCATTGTTGCACAATATTTCCATATATCAAGATGAAATATGTCTTTGTGTAATTTTTCCCCCGTTGCTTCTAGTTCTGTCCTCTCGTCTCAATAGAATAAGTCTAATTCTTTATCCATATGAAAGTCTTATAAATACACGAAGACAATTATCATGTCCTCTTATTTATGTGGAAGATGGATTATAGAAGAAAGAGACTTAAGACACAGGCTAGTTAGGAGGCTATCATGAACTTAGAATTGGAAAGGAATTTAAAAGATCATTTCATATAATCCCCTTGCTTCTCTTTTCCAGGCTAGACATCTTTAGTTCCCTTAATTGACCCTCTGACAAGGTTTCCAGAACCCTTCTCTTAATATACTCCAGTGTCTTAAAATTCTCTCTAAAATGTGGCTCCCAGAACACACTTATCTTCATACGGTCTGAGCAGGGAGCCCATTTACCCAACCGGTGACCAAATTTGTGACTTTTTTCATTTTCATAACTATTAGAAAATAACAAAATGTTAAAAGTAGGGTCTATGTGCCACCTCACTCCTCTCCCTAATGGCACAGTTAGCATTACAATTTAGTTGAAGCAAAGCCATTAACATCACAGTGAACAACTTTAAAAATGGCCCTTTCTGACAGTATTCCCTTCCTTACTATTTCTTAAGTTTTGTGGCATTATCTTGGTTGCACTTTTAAACCATTTGTAAATGGATTTGGCAACAATTGAAGCAGCAATGAGTGGGGAGGGATGAAAATGCAGTGAAAATTCTTTCTGTGTGTTTCTCTTTGGCAAGAAACCTTTTGTTTTCCTAATGGAAACTTTGACACACTTAATCTGCATCTTTTCATCCATATCCAGCTCATCTTTTTGAACATTCCTAGACCTTTATTCTATCAGACAGCAAATAGGAAAGGATACCAAAATCTTAGTCTAATTGAATTGTGATACATTGCTGAGCTACTTGAGGGAGTTCATTGTTTCATTCTAGTTTAAAATGAGCTTGGAATACAGGGGAAGACCAAAAGTATAAAGAGTAAATAGTTTCCCAACAGAACTCCAAGATAATAGAAAATTTGAGCAGCTTAAATGTAAAAAAAAATAGAAAAGAATACAGTTGATTCCTGACAACACCAAAATTGAGAGATTTTTGTCCATGGCAAAGGATATGCCCATATTTCATGCTCTCCATTTTCTAGCTCACTCTGGCTCTTACACTGGTAAAAGTGTAAAAAGTTTGTTATATTCATCTTGCAAAATACAGCCTAAAAGATCCCTACTTGTACAAACAAAGGGTAGCGCTTCTTGATGGAAGGCACATTACTAGTTAGTTTTACTGTTAGATTACTCTTACATTCATGGGATTAGGAGCAAAAAACAAATAGTCTTCTCTTTTTCCTATGGCTTTCATGAATTTTGGATCTGAAAATAAAATTTCTATTTAGAAAGGTAATAGTAAAACTGCTTGGGTGACTAGTATCTATGGAAGAGGTAGCTTTTAAAAACCTGAATCTTGACTTAACTATCATCAACTTGGCCAGAGTGACATAGTGGAAACATAACTGGTTCTGGAGCCAGAAGCCTGAGTTCAAAACCAGCCTCTTGCCACAAGTTTTACCCTTGACAACCTACCTAATCTCACTTTGCCTCAGTTTCTTCATTTGCAAGATAAATGTAATACTTTTGCTACTTAAGGCAGAGGGTTATTGTGAGGCAAGTAAACCTTAGAACTCCATATAAATGTCAGTAATCATTATTATCTTTCTTTCAAGCTACTCAGAGTCTCTAGAGCTTTGAGATTTTCTTGGAAAGCTAATATCCACTGATTAGTAACTATTTGGAAGGATAGCTCTCTTTCTGGTAAATGTATTTCTTTCTGTTGAACAAAGGAATTTTAAATGTAGTGTTGCTCTGTCATTAACATGGTTATCATATCAGTAAAAAGTGATTCGAATGAAAACTATTACCTAGAGCTTGTTTCAAATATATACTTTAAAAACCTGCACACTTTCACAGAGAAAAGTTTCCTGCTACAGAAAGTATCCCTACTACATGAAAATATACATATTACATCTTTAAGGCAGATTCAAAAATTCCATGATACCTAAAGTTGAGTGTGATAGTGTCTTAACTTTATATTTAGGGTCCAATTTTGTCTTCATCACTCAGCTCCTTTAAGGAAAGTGAAGTTACAGAAATCAATGTTATAATAGATATATAAGAATGAATTTAAAAGCCTTTTCTGATTTTACATAAACAAACAGCACAGTTCCCAGCACATAGTATATGCTTAAAATTCTCTATGTATCTTTATATGAAAGGCAAGGAATGTGGCTAGACAGGTAAGAGAGACAATGACCCTGTCCCATGGTCTTATCCTTGTCTCTGTGTCTTAACTCTGCCCATTCATCTATGTGGGAAAGAGAAGTGGTTTTTTGAGCTAAAAAATATTGGGAATCATGACCCCCAGAACTGTTTGGCAATCCCTAGAGAAGGAATTCATTCATGAATGACTAGCCTTCAGAAAATAAAATCAGGAAAAATAGAGAATGCATATCATAAGCTAGAGTAAGGTCTCCAAAAGAGACCCGAACCCAGTGACCAGAAGTTCAGTCCAAATAAAAGAATAAGCCTGAGGATATTAGCTAGGTGGAAGGACCCTTCCACTTTTCCTGTGCATGACCTATTAAAGAGAAAAGGCTGAGAGGGTTCTTTTGTTTTATTTGTTTTGGAATTGGTATTGTCTTATGACTAACAAAGGGAGCTTCTTTTCTTTAAAAAAAAGGCTGGGAAAAAACCCTCTGGATTTATGAAGTAAAAGAACATAGCAGAGCCTACTCTCCTCATGAGAAGAAATAGCACTAATAGCTGAAGACTTAAGCTGACTCCAGAAACTGGAAGCAGAGAGAACTTGCACAGTGCATATCCAGTGGGGGGGTTATTCCTGGCTGCATTTGGTTCCCAGTGCAGTAACAGCTTGCAGAGAAGTGGCTATCTAGCTAAGTAGGATTCAATGAAGCAGGGTCCAGGGAAGTAATTGGAGACTCTGGAGAGACCAGTTGGTAGCAGGCACAATGAGAGCAGTGTAGTGAAACCACCAGAAGACATTAGAAGCCCTGCAGCACAGCAACAGATATTCCCTACATGTTTGTCTCTCCAAGAATTCTAGTATGTCTTTTCTTCCCTCTGATGGTGAATGTCTTTGTGGAAGAATAGGACTCAGGTTTATGGAAGCAGATATTTTATTGCCACTTCTCTTACTATACCCTTTCAGTAAATGACTTAGATTGGAACCACTTGTATCTTTTGGCTGCCTGGTAAAGATAAACCCATTAGTGGGAACTTTGGTCTTGGTGGATATGGACTTATAGAGGACTTAAAGCCTAGAATCATCTCTGGGGAGCTCACCTTGTGAGTCAGGGGGTTTCCCTAGGTGGTATAAAAATAACACATCAAAATATGAATATCCTAAAATTGATTTAAATATCTTAGATTATTTGAAAGATTTTAAATACCTTCACCATTTCTACTCTTAGTTTTACTGACATTCAAAACACACAAAAAATTCTAACATAGTATTTCTAATACAGACTAAGACCTTGAAATTGTCCATTTCTGACAAGCTATAACGTAGGACTTGAACTGGTCACTATCACTGAAGAAAAGGTTTAAATGTCCCAAATAACTTATTTTTTATGTTCGCACTTTTCTAATTTAATGAAGCCATTTTTATACACATCTGATATGAAACATTTTAGAGTTTGGTGGAGTGGAAAGAGTGGAAGACATAAAATCAGAGAACCACAACTTTTAGGATAATTATATTTTAATACATCATGACATTATCTCCATCTCTCTCACTATCTTGGTTGCAACTCCTCCCTCCCTCTATTTGGGTTTAAGTTTGTCAATTTCCCTTTTAAATTGTGGGTCCCAGAGATTAAAATGATATTCCAGATGTAGTCTGACTAGAGCAAAGAATCACAAAGTTTTCACCTTCCTTTTTCTGGATACTAGGTCTTCCTAAAGTCAGACCCCAAATCCAATTAGCAGGCTTTGCTGTTGTTGCCATGTAAAGTTGTTCAATTATATTGAGCTTAGAGTTCACTAAATCCCCATGTTTTCCAGTAGCATGGAGTAGTGGATGATAATAATAATGATAACAATGATAATAATAATAATAATTGACCATTTATGTAGTACTTTAAGATTTTCAATGCACTTAACCTACAAGATTATAAGTTAAAATAAGCAGCCATATTTAATAAAAAATGTTGAAGTTTTACATCTGGCTTTGGAGTCAGACCTGGGGTCAAGTGCTATCTCAGACACATACTAGCAGTATGATTTTGAGTAATTCATGTAAACTCTCAGCGCCCCCAGCAATTCTGTACTGGTAGAACAAAATTTCCAAACTGGGAGTTACTTACACCAATAAAATCATAGATCTGTATCACCCCCCAAAAAATACTGTTCCAGGGAACATGGGAAGTGTTGTCTTGCCACATTCTATTCTTGTTCCATTTATTTTCTGAACCTAAATAGAGATTTCTACTTTTATCTCTATTAAATTTCATCTTATTAAATTAGGCTCATAATTTTAGATTTCATGATCATTTTGGATACTGACACTATCATCCAACACGTTAGCTATCTTGCCCAACTCTCAGTTACCTGCACACTTGATAATTATGCCAGAAATGCCTTCATCTAAATCATTGATTAAAAAAAAATTTAGGCAGCATCCTGCCATCTCTTCTCCGCCAGTTCTCTCTTTCCTTCCTAGTCTTTCAAAATTGCATAGTTAATAACTACTGACATTCTGAAAGTTTGGTGGTACTTCAGCATACTTTTGGTTTGGTAAAGGCTATCTAGCTGTAGCACCACTGCTTATTCCAGGAACGTCAACTGAGACTCAGCAAACCCACCATTTGTCGTGACATCTGCATGTAAGGATTGTGTCTTACATGCCTTTGTATCCTCTGTACTATCTGGAGCATATACTGTGTACTCCATAACTATCTGTTTGTTACTTGAATTTTGATAAAATTCTCCATTTGGGTTTTCAAGACTATATTTACAAACCGAAAAGCTCGAATGGTGGTGAGGCCTTCAGCAGTTTCTGAAAAGTGGCAAAGCAGAGGCAGCTGAGTGCTGTCATCAAGTTCTTGGAGATCCCTATGAAAGGGGAAAAAATACAAAAATAAACTAAAGACATGAAACAATTAGGATATCAAAGGCTTAATTGTGCATTCTATAATAAAATCATCAATATGCTCATCTACATCAGATATGAGACCAGGCATGAAGTAAGATCATAGCTGGAGAGCTGGAAGGGAACTCAGAGACCAGTTAGTCCAATCTTCTCCTTTTAGAAAGGAGGAAGAAATTAAGACTGAGAGAGGTGAGATAAAATTCAAATCCAGGTCCTCTGACTCAACATCCAGTGTTCTTTCCTTTCCAGTGTGTACTTCAATTAATGTTGAAGGAAGGAATCTTACTAGAATTTCATAAAAGTACACATTCACATTATTCCTTTTCTTTTTATAATGAAAAGATATTAGCTGTAGAGTAGATAAAGAAATAAATGCCATGTGTTTCAAAAAACATGTTCTGACTTTTCCCATTCTCTGATTCTCTTATGAGTAGCTTGTGTAACAGAATTTTTAGGCATATTTTTGGTATGTTAGACAGCAACTAAGTGATGAATTCAATAATAGCATCTTTGGTGTTGAACTTGGGACCTTCTTGGCAACCAGTTCAATATGCCAAATAAGTATAAACTCCTGACTTGCCCAATTAAAAAAATTCATATTCCCTAGAGATGGTACATGAAGGTACATATCAGGCATGAAAGGAAATGAGAACCTTTCCTACTTGCACAACATATATGGTATTTAATCTCAATGATATAACATGCTACCTATTTGTAAACCTGCACAGATGCCATAAAGAAGTAGCACTGCTGCCAGTCGTGAGGGAAAGCATGAGATTAGAATAAACAGGGCAATGTTCACAAAATTTATTTTTGTGAAACCAAAAGGTAAAAGACCATTTTGATCTTATATTTAGAACATCCATATTTGTAGAGCTATACATTCATTTCATAGTACATATCACATGATCTTTAATTTTAGGTATTCAAAAAATGTGTGGGATTTCCTGTAGTAATTTCACTCACAAGATACTTATGAACAGAATGCCTTAGGTATTCGGAGCTATTCTATCAAAGTCTATGCATTCCAGCCTCATAGCAGGGGTTTGGGATTGGGGTTTTTTTTGCCACAAATATTTTGACTTTCCAAGGTCCATTTCTTCTAATCTCCACCCAATTTAGTACTGTAATTAATGTTTATTGATTGATTATAAGTCTTTTGGAAATGGAAGGATTTATTAAGTATCTATTATGTGCCAGGGACTGTGTAAGATACTTTGCAAATATCTTATTTGATCTTCATAGCAATGCTGTGAGGTAGGTGCTTTTATTATTTACATCGTATGGCTGAAGAATCTGGGGAAGTCAGAGGTTAGGAGACTTGCCCAGGGTCCCAGAGCAAGTAAGTAACTGAATTTGGATTTGAACTCAGGTCTTCCTGACTCCAATGTATATAGCTGCCTCCTAGGGGGTTGTTAACTTCATTAACTACAACTGTTAACACTGGTAAGTAAGACAAGCTTGGTGGTATTCGTGGGCACCACTAGCAAGCCTAATGCATAGTCATAGGAAATAGAAACAGGAAAGACAGAAAGAACAGATGAGTAAGGGAAAAAAATAAGAGACAAAGGGAAAAAATGGAAAATGAGGTATAATAGGTAGAGAATAAAGAATAATGAAGGCCCACAATTGCCTCCTATACCAGGGTTGCTTGTCCTTGAAAATCTACTACCTCCTTTTTATTTTCTTAATCCTGTTGCTCTGATTCATGAACATTCCTTTTTTTTTTAACTTAGCCCACTAAGAAAACCATGGTTACTGCCAAGTAACACACTTTTCAAACCATTCTGAGCCTGAGAATAGACTGTGGAACAGGACTAAAGTAAAACGACATTCGTCTAACATTCACTATCCTCATTCAGTCCCAGGATGATCCTAAGGAACAACATCTAACATTTGGTTTTGTACCTGGAGTCCACTCTAGTAAGAAGGAACCTTTTAAGGGCTGGTATAGCCCTTGGTCAATGTCATATGAGAGACACTTAAGAGACTTAGCACACATACCTATACTTGCTTTAGTAAAGTCTCTTGAATTCCCTACTGCTTGTATGGGTTCAACTGTCATTTTTATGTAGATGACTCCCAGACTATATTTCTAGTTATGCATTATCAGTTGCTGACTTGACAACTGAATGTCTCCTAAGCATCTCAAACTTAATATGTTTAAAACAGAACACATTATCTTTTCCCCAAAATCACTCCTTCTTCCTAACTTCCTTATTTCACCCATGTTTGCAACCTCAGTTTTTCCTCCAACTCTTCACTCCTTCATCACCCTACCACATATTATCAGTTCCCTAGTTATATTGCTTTTACCTCTCCAACGACACTAGCATCTGGCCCCTTCCAACATTGTAAAAACCCTCATCAGTTCAAACCTGGACTATTGCAATAATTTCATATCTCCAATATTTCTTTTCAACAAGCCATCTTCCACATAACTTCTAAATTAATATTCCTAAATCTCAGATCTGATTATGTTACTTCCTTGGGAAGGCATTCCTTCCTCAATATAGCCTCTCCGAATCCTTAGCTTTCTTCCAAGTTCAGCTCCAGGACCACTTCATGTATAAGGCCTATTCAGATTCTACCAACTGCTATTCCTTCCTCACTCACATGCCCAGAGATTACTTTGTATTAATCTTATCTTTATTTTGCATGTCCTTGTCTGTGTTTGTGTTGTTTCTCCCTAATAAAAATGTAAGCTTCAGGAGGGTGGGACATATTTCATTTTAGGCACCTACAAGGTGGCAGTAGGTGATCCCTGGCACATGGTAGGTGCTTATCAAAAACAGAAGAACCAGGTGCATCAAAGAATTTTTAATATATTTTACAAATGTACTATAATTTATCTTATCTGTGCAAATGCACTTTAAATACAAATAATTATAAGCAGATATTACATTTTTTTGTCTTGAAATATAACTTTTCATCCTACTAGCCCTAGTATGTGGAAATGCACTGTGTCAGATGGCAGCTTGGTCCTTTGAGGTATTCTCAAATTCAAGCCTAAATGAATTAATCCCTTCTGTCCTGTTTACTAACTTCCAAGGTAACAATTTCATTCTTAGTAATTGTAAATACATAATCACAATTTAAACCAAACACTTTCTAACATTACCTCATTACCTTTTTCTCTCTACAAATGACAGAGCTTCACCCAAAGATTGCTAAAGGACCAGGCTGATGCAATCGATTATGTGATACGTGCATGAAGGGACTGGTAGATGGATATTAGTAGTGTCTCTAACACAGTGAAGAGGCAAAAAAAGCCTCACAGAAAATTTTCAATTGTGGAGAATGATGATGAGGATAGTGATGATGGTGATGATGATGATAATGACTGACATTTATATGGGGCACAAAGCACTTTGCCTGGGCTGTCTCCATCATATTTTCTCCCTCAGCAAGGAGCAATAACAACAATGCCAGGAGAAACCATGAGATCAGCAAATATGCTCTTTTCTGCATGAACTTTCTGAGAGAGAACAGTACGTTGGGCTCAGGGATAGATTAGCATGAGAGAACTGATCTGAGCTAGAGACTCAGTTGAAGTACTCCTAATTACAAATATTACAGGGCTTCATTGTTGGGTCATAATTTTCCCAACACTGAAGATTTTCAAGCATAGAGTAGATGGCTTACTGTCAAGGGCCCTGAAAAAGGGTTAGGTGAAAAAGGTTTCATTGGATTAGAATTTGAACTAGATGATTTCTCATAGATTTCCTAGGTCTAAAAGTCCACTCTGAGGAAGAAAGAACAACAGCTTTCTTTTTTGCTTGTTTTAAAATGATGTGAAACATGAGATAAATTGAGACTATTACCTTCCATCAAGTAGATGGCAGGCCTTCTCAATTTATTAGAGATTTTGTTACAATTCTGAACATGTTTGACAGGATTACTAGACTGGGGAACTGAAGAAGCTCAAAGAAATAGCATGTCTAGGTTACATCAAAGTACTTGACAAAGTTTGAATAGGAGTAGTTAGGTTACTTTAAATGACCAGATCCCTGGCTGATATCAACCTGAAGGAAGGGATCTAGTAGAATGCTACAGGGATTTGCCTTGGTCTTGTGCTAGTCACATTTTTTATTAATCAACTAGAAATTGTGAAATTTGTAGATGCACAAACGAGGAAAGAACAGTAAACATATTAGATAACAGAGTTAGCATTCCAAAAATCCTTATCATCCAGAATGATGAACCAAATTCCATTATATGAAAATTAGGAAGTGGAATGAAATACAAGAGCTGGATTTAGAGTGAAAGGATGTGGGTTGAATTTCAGAACTGCTGCTTCCTATAATTTGAGTAAGTCACAGATTCTATGGGGCTTAATCCTTATATCCAACATGAAAAGGTTGGACAACATACAAGACCTCTATGATTCTATTCCAATACCATAGTTTACCCTTCCAATGATATGAACTGATATAGGTGAAATGATATAGGTAAAAATGAAGTCTGCATACTATATAGGAGAAACTGTACAAACAAAACTTGACTTTGATTATTGACCAATTTTAATATGGATTATTTAAATAATAATGAACCTCTAGAAAAAGGAAGCAGCAATTACAAGGAGCCAGAATGGCTTCCTCAAGAGCAGGTCATGCCAGACTAATGTTATTTCAATTTTTTGTTGTTTTGAAAGGGCTACTAAATTTATGACCATAAAAATGCTATAAATATAGTTGACCTGTATTTTAGCAAAACATTTGATAACATCTATCATTCTGTTCTTATGGGGGTGTGGGAATGGAGAGATGAGGGCTGAACAGCAATACAGTTAGGTGGATTTTGTCATTGTTGTTCAGTTGTTTTCAGTTGTGTCCAACTCTTCATGATCCCATTTGGGATTTTCCTGGCAAAGATACTAGAATGGTTTGTCATTTCCTTCTCTAGCTCATTTTACAGATAAGGAAGTCAAGGCAAACAGAGTTAAATGACTTGCCCAGAGTCACACAGCTAGTAAATGTTTGAAGCCAGAGTTGAGCTCAGGAAGATGAGTCCTCCTGACTCCAGGCCTGGCATTTTAACCACTGTGCCACACAGCTGGCACATCTCTTCATTGGAGGTCTTCAAATAAAGGTTGCGTGACCATTTTTTCCAAAGATGACATAAACGTCAGACTAGATGACCTCTGAAGTCTCTTCTAATCTGAAGATTCTTTGGTTCTAATATAGAGTAGAATTCTGAGACTATTCACCTGACATTCTAAATGTTTATCTCATTCTGTAATATGACAGTTGGCAGACTGATGAACAATTGACACAAGATTTTATTTTTGCATGATCTAAATAAAAAGATTCTAGTTATTTAGAATTATAGGTCTCTTATGATTCTGATGCCCTTCTATTTATTATTTATTGGATATTTATAACTGTAGTAATTTTCCATAGGGAGTCTACCCAATAAGCACAGGGACATCCTTACTTTCTTTTAATTTCATGACAATACCAAGGAAGCGTATGAGCAAGATTTACTAAGCACTGCTATATACGTTTTTTTGCTCTACCTCAAACTATACCAGGAATTATAGTACATTTTATCATTCCTGAATTCCAGACATGGTTGCATTCAGAAAAGAAACTAGGCAGTTAAAATTGATGGATGAACAGAAGGAATTCAGTGCATTTTTCATGCAATCCCTGAACTATAAGCAAGTATTTACTTCATAGCTATTATGTGCCCAGCACTGTTAAGCTCTTAAACATTTGATATTGGTTATAAAGTGAAAACTGTTGAGATTAAGACAGTTTAACAAGTTAATTTAAACATTTATTACATGTTAAAGGCTACATACTTTTCTAAAAGAAATATCTATTATAACCTTTCATCACCTTTTTTGAAAAAAAAATAGACTTTGGTAGATGCAAAAAATAACTTTTTTTTTAAACGATACTCAAACCTTGTTCTATTTACTTACTTAGAGGCCACACGGAAATATTTCTGAATGAAGTAAAAGGCAATCCCAAGAGGTACAAGAGCAACCAGGAATACAGGAGTAGCATATGAGATCATCCCAATGGCAGATAGGCAGAGTAAAGTTGAGCGGGTTAAAGACTCCAGGGTAGGAGGGATGTGCTATTCAGAAGATAATTTGAGAAAAAAAATGTTTTAGGTCAAATTAAACACATTATTATGCAAAAGTAAGTCTCTGTGTTTTTGTAGACAATAGACTGCTTCTGTTCAGTATCACTGGGACCATAATTAAATAGTGGCTATACAAACATCTGAGCATATGTCTAATCTACTGGATGCCAATCCCTTGCAGTTTGAATCCAGTATATTTTAGAATCTCCCCTTATCTCCTCCCTGAACTACCATGATAGTAGTGGCAAGACTGGGGTGGGGAGCCATCCTATTTTATTCTAGAGTTTTCATCTTGGTCTGGGCCACACTCAAGGCTCCACTCTGGAAAGTCGTAATGGTTCTAGACTAAACAAAATATTTCTAGTATTCCATTTCCCTTAGTACACTGGAATGTCAGGATCATCTTCGGATTCCCCTGGTCAAAGAAACTAGACTTAATGAGAAATTCTAAGAGAGGTCAATGGCCTTTTTTGTTCATGATCCACATGCTTAGGACACATTCACATCTTTCTAATGTATATATCCTTTAAGAGTGCATTAATTCACTTGTACTAATAGTATTTAGTAAGTATTTACTACATATAAGATTTTATACTAGGTGTGAGCCTACAGTGATCTAGCTTCTGACTTTAAGGAGCTTTTACTCTATTATTTTTGGAGGGGAGGATAAAACATATGCACAAATAAGGAAATCTAAGGATAGAAAATAACACAGAGTCACCTTCCTTCCAAGATAAAGTATTACAGTATAAATTTAGTGAAGGGTTAAATATCAATATCTTACTTAAAAAAAGACACAAAGATTTATGTGTTCACCTGGTCAATGATATTTGTGTCAGCTGAAAAACGATTTAGGATTAGCCCCAAGGGTGTTGTATCAAAGAACCTATGGAATAAGCACATTAAAAATTACATATTTGAAGATGAAGGGCCTAGGCTTCTCTTGCTTTCTTAGCATGGTCATCAGACTTCTGTAATGATATCTAGTATTAATCCCAAGGAACTACAGAAAGCCTTTTCCACTATGCTACAAAATTACATATAGTAAAGGTTTTTTGTTTTGTTTGCTTTTGTTTTGGTGAAATGACTGTTTCTGTACCTGATTGGTCCAAGAATGATCTTATTAAGAAGGTTGTGGTGAAGATTTTTGGCAGCTGTGAGGCCCATCCATTCTACAGTGAGAGATGTAACAAGGCAAAGGAAAATACCTGTTCCACAAAGGATTGTAAATCCAGCCACATAATAAGACTAGAAAAAAAACAATAACCAAAAAGGAGACATTCATTATCAGAAACAAAATAAATTTCCTTATTATTCCTTAGTAAAAACTGAAAGTTAAAACATATATGTCTAAATTTCAGTGACTTTGTAAATTTTCAAAAACACTTCCAAAGTATGCACAATGTCCTCTTCCTCATCATTTATTCAAGCACAGTTTTCACTTCTACCTTGCCCTTCCTGGGTTTTTGTAAAGGAAAAATGGACTAGATTAAGGGATCTGAGAATTTTCCTGAAACACCAAAACAGTTCTTCCCAGAGATTATTCCATACTAAATATCTGCTATATGAAATAATCTCACTGTATTTTCTGTTTATTCTAGCACCTAACACAGTGCATAACAAAGAGCCACACCACACAGAGTAGATACTTAATAAATGCCTGTTGAATGATCTATTCAACCTAATGACTGGCTTAATTAAGGTAGGAAAGTTCAATAACACAGCAGTAGAGTTTGGACCCAAAGAACTAGAGTTCAGAACCTGGCACTACTATTCATTACCTTGGACAAGTAATTCAACCTCACTAAGCCTCTGTTGCCTCATCTAAAACATGAGAATATTAGATTAGATGATCTATTCCCATTCTTAAAATGATGACTTTCTGGTGAAAAAAAAAACTCATTAGAAAATGTGCTAGTCCCACTTGATAGGTTATTAAAGTGGTACTTGGCACAGTAAAATAATAGTACTTTGCTGTTTCCCATGCACTTTTTGGAAAAGTCTGATTTAGCTTTTTCAAGCTGCTCTAAAGACATAAAATAGCTAATAAAAATAGCTCCTGGTCTAACTGAGCCTTTAATGCTATAATCCATAATAAATCTAGTTTTGAATACTACTGTGATCTATTCTTTTAGCCTTTTAGTCCTATAAAGTGAAAATCATCCCCCAGTTCCCATTCATTTCTTTTTATCTTAATGCTGCAGTCTATAAATCAAAATCTAAACTTTTTTTCTCTCAAACAGAATTTTTTTGAATAATCATAATTTTCTGTTATTCTTGTTGGTCATATTTAGGATCATCAGATTTGGAGCTGAAAGGGATTTTAGAGATTCGAGGATATTTATAAATTTACCAAAAGCACTATTGTTGAATAAGCTGAGATCCCAATGCTTTGTATATTTGTTCAGAGTTAGCAAACCATTTATTTTTTTCCAATCAAATGATAAGGTTTATTGTTTTGCCAATAGAAGTGAACAGGTTTCCTAGTGAAACTGCCTATTTTTTTTTTACAAAGGATCTGTGATTTCTTCATCAGAGAGATCTTCCAACACCAAGTCAGATTAAATCCTGCTAATGACTTAGAGGTGAGTTGTGGGGTCACACAGAAGTTATGTTACTTGTCCAAGATCATGCATCTGTCATGCCAGAGACAGGGTATGAAGCCAGGTATTGCCTATTCTATAACCATTAAACCACACTGACTCTACATAACTGGCCAGAACATCAACGCATGGGTTTAAATTTAAGAAGATTCTAACTTTTCATAATTTTAACTGGTACTGGCTATTTCTCATAGAGATTATCCAAGCTAGTACTTAATATAGGGCCATTGTTATTAGGGTAAAAGAATGGGTGAATTTAGAAAGGAAGACTGTAATCTTACCTCCTATGTCATCAATCAATCAATATTATTAAATGTTTATTATGTTGCAAGGCACTGTACTAAGTGCTAATTCATGATTACAATATGGGCTTTATCATGTGAAACTTTAGATTGTACTAACAGAAATCTTGATGATTTTTCCACATTTTGTTTAGTGATTAAAAAATAATCCTTTCTACCTGATAATCACTTATACTATCCTTTCCATTCAGTTCAGATGTCCATGTAGCTAGCCAGTAGTCTATAGCTACAATAACCGAATGCTTCAGGAGCTTGGAAAAAATCATCAAAAAAAGGAAGAAGAATCCTCCAGAAGTCAAGTATCTCCAGCAAGTCTTCCATGGCATTTTAGTCCTGAGCCTCAATACTGTGGACATGTTATCATCTTCATCTTCCTCCTCTTCTTCCTCTGTATACCAAAAAATTAACAAAGTTTTCATGTTGTTAAGAAGTATAAACAAGTTTAACTTCCCCTTAATTTATTTTAAAACTCACAAGAAATATAGAAGTAACAGCTTAAATTACCTTAAAGCAGCTATTCTGGGCAGGGAACCATGTCTTAAATCAATGAGAATCCTCCAGAGCACCTTGCCTTGGGTTTTTAAAAAAGGCTACAAATGCCTAAGGTTTGTTTTTTATCATCTTTCCCCACATTTATCAGTGTCAAAGACATGTGGCATCTGACAGGAGTGATTACCAGAAGCCTGAAGAAGTAGTGTACCAGTACTCTGGTCTATATTTTTTAAAACCTCTATTGGTCGATAACTTTTATCTTTGTCTAATTCTTTAATTTGTTGTATAATGTAGACATAAATTAATTTTTACATAAATTAAATCTGTATATATAGTATATATATATATATATACATATAACATATATAAACTAATCTATATAAGTGTATTTTGTTTCTCTTGAGAAATTGATGATCTATAGATTTGTGTGTGCATATTTATGCTAGATGAGTAGTACCTGCTAATAATCTACAAGTCCATAGGTAGAGAATATTGAATACTTAGTAGATAAAACTACCTGAGAACTCAAAATTAATGATTTGGCTTTGAAACCAATCCATAGCTTTTAAAAATATGTAATGACCAAGTATCCACAGTGAAACTTAAGCAGATAATTCTGAATAGTTATCATCTGTTATTGAACTACTACCTATTATTTAAATGGCCAAAGAAAATATTTGGAGGTTGGCTTTTTTCCTTGAATCTATAACTGTCATAATTTTGTCTTGCATTTGACTTACTTAAATTTAGCCAAATATGAAAACATCCTGGAAAAATAGGAAATATAGTAGCATATTTACCCTATGGTCTTCTTAAGTGGTTTATCTTACAAACTTCTTATCAATAAATGTCAAAGCAATATAAATATTTCATCTTATTTCTCATAATTTCCAATAAATCTCTTTCCCATTCTACTATTATTAGATCCATAAAATTACAATGTAATAAATAGCTTTCTAATTCTCATACCCATTATTTCTGAATTTTCCATGAGAACCTCAGGAAGACTGTATTGCTCTGATCAAAATATGACATTTTTAACCTACATCTTTACCTCTTCATTTGAAAGGGATTAACTGTCACTAGCATCTTTTAACTATATTGCCATAATAATCAACAACTTATTAGTGACATGATCAGGTCATTATTGAAGAATTTTCAAATTTCTCTATCCTACTCTTGCTTCATTTCCATAGTACTAACTCTTCTTTACAACAGCTATTCCCCTGTTTACTGGAATGAAAGGCATCATGTGAGTGACCAATAAATGTTTGTTAATTGTTTCACATTCTGTTCTTCATATTTTATTATTTCTTACAATAATTTCCACTAGACCCATTTTTTTTCTCTAAAATATCCCAAGCACTTCTTCCTTGCCCATCTTTACCTGAGGCATACTCATATCTTAATGGTCAAAGACAAAAGTCCGAAATCCACACTCTCTATTCATGTCATATTTATAAAAGATATTCTAAGAAATTGTCTACCTTCATCTTCATCTTCCATTTGTGCTTTGGCTTCTCTTGAGTACATAGCTCTTCTGAGAGTTTTTCTTTCCAAGGTTGTTTGGTCAGCCTCCATATCCTACGATTAACATTGAAAATGATTTGAGGATATTAAGCCTTAGAGCTAAAAGACACCATAATTTTACAAAGAAAGAGACTGAGCCCAGAGAGGTTAAGTGACTGGATCACAGTCAACAGAGATAGGAAATAGAAGAAACAAGATTCAAACCTAGATATTCAGACTCAACCATCCATCATGCCTATGTTCCAGGCACTATGCTAAGCTCTGGGGATACAAAGAAAGACCAAAAAAACCCCCAAAAAACAAAACAAAACAAAACAGTCCCTTTTGCCAACAAGCTCATAATCTAATGGGAAGACAACATGCAAACAACTATATATACGCAGGATAGATATATAAATAGATAATAAATTAGAGGAAGTCTCAGAAAGAAGGCACTAAGATTAAGGAGGCCTAGAAAAGGTTTCTTGCAGAACACGGGACTTTATCTTGTATATACAATTTCTAACTTTATCTCCAGATTTCCAGGAATCTAGGAAAACCAGTAGATGAAGAGGGACAGAGTTCCAGGCATGGGGGGGGCAGCCAGTGAAAACACTCAGTGTCCAGTACAAGGGACAGCTAGGAGGCCAGTGTCATTGGATCTCAGAATATGTGGAAAGGAACAAGGTATATGGAAATTGGAAAGGAAGAAAGGGACCAAGACTACTGCTCCACTGGAATACTGTTCTCTAAGGCAATCACTGATTGATGAATCATCCTGATTTATGAATCCCTGATTTACATTAAGCCTTTCTTACAGGCCCCCTACCTGCCTTTTTGTCTTCCTATTATCTTGTGTTTTTCCATGTATTTAAACATCACTATATTGTCCTCCCTGAGAGAGGGCAGGGGCTATTTTACGTTTGTCTTTGAATCCCTATTGATAAGCATGGTGCCTAGAACATAATAGGAACTTAATAAATATGTTGATTGATTGACCAACCATTTCCCATCCATTTAAAAAAATCTACCTCATAAGCACATGGTAAAGCTTAAGAAAATTGTGTTTATTGTTTTAAATTGCTGAGCCTAGCAAATACAAATTGTTATGAAAATGTGAACAAATATTGTTAGAATATATCATCCATGCTATTACTCCTACTAACTTTTTAAAGATATGGGTTCATAGCATTCAGATTAGAACTGTTCTTGAATGATGCTTTATAAATCAGGCTCAAAAATCTCTAATCCTTTCTGTCCCTTCCTATTCTCTCCCTTCTAACTCTTCCAGTTCCCTTCTTATTCACATTTTTAACTTTTCAATAAACTCTTTTCTACTTGTACATCTGTGAGTCCTTAACCTATAAGGCCTTGCAATAGATCAATTTCATTTCTCTCCTGCCTTGTGTTCTTTGCCATCCAATCCACTTTGCTCCAATACTGTGTAATTGTTGCTTCTTGCCATGAAGCAAGTAATACAAAAATTATAGTTTTTTTAAAAAAAGATTTATTGTTCTATACCTAATACACTGTCATGACCATGGTTTTCATATCTTAAGAATTTAAGTATGTATCAGCCTATATTTCATTCTCTCCCTAGATCCACATGTACGTAGGTAAATGTCTTTCCATCGTATCTAAATACATTTAAATTGACATTATTCCTGGCCTGTGTAATGCTATTTCTATAAAATCTGGCCAGCAATTCTCATTTTTTTCCCAGATATTTCTTCCAAAATAAACCATAAATTGCCCCGCTCCTAAAGCTTACATCATACTCTTTTGTCCCTGGCATCTAAATCCCATAAAAATGTCTCTTGGAGTCACCCCCAGTAAGTATATAATCAAGGTTCCCACAGCATAATCCCTAAGCAGGCACTTGCTGACTATTCCTCTGAATCTTAATTTGATATGAAATAATCATTTGAACAGTTCTAATTTGTTCTAGTCTCTTTATATATTTGAAATATATCTTTTCCCCCTCTATGAGGACCTTGGGGTCCTTGTAGGAATCAATAGAAAACACACAAGCTTAAAATATACATATATACAAACATACATACACATACATATTCTTTCATGCTGCTTCTTCTTGTTGTGGTATGTTTATTTCTTCTGTTTTTTAATTATCATATTTTAGTTCTTCAGCAATTTCTTTTAGGAACTTGGATAACTTATCAGAGCTAGATATCACCAGAAGCACAATTTCAGCTCACAAATTCTCTAGTTTGGGCCATGCAAACATTGCTTTTTTTTCCCTCTTTAGTTTACTCTGATCTCTAGCTTTTCTATGCCTTCAGTCAACTTATAATTGAATACTCTACAAGTATTTCCTTGGTCCACCTCCATTTCTTTCTTTCAATGTCATTTTGACTCTTGTCTGTGATTCTTTGCCTAAGAAATGTCATGGGGTCTAAATAAGTTCTCGTTGTGCAGATGAGAAAAGAGAAGAAAGAGAAGTGAAAAAGCTTGAGTCAAATGGTTTATCTGAAGTCATAAGCCAGATCACACATACAATATCTGAGGCTTAAATTCAAATTACATATATATGTATATTGCATATACATATAACTGTATATTGTTTACTGGTATTTGGTCATTTCTACAGTAATATCATTAGAATTCTATGTGTTTAATCATACAATTATCTTGATTACTGAAATAAGTATGTACCATATTTTGGTTTGAAATTGTGAATTGGTGATGTTCTTAGAGAGTTTCAAGGATAGACAATATGTCATCTAGTACACTTGGATATTTCAGGACTATCTACAGTTACCTTTTCTAATTCTTGGTCTTGGCGATTCATAAGTGTTTTCCAGTGTTCATAAAGCTCAACATCTTTGTTTTGAATATCCTTCAAAGTTCCTTCCCTTAGCACATTACCATCCTTCATGGCTATGATCTAAAGGAAATGGATCATATAAATTATATTCACAACTTAAATAGCAAAACTTAATTATCTTTATCTTTAAAATCACTAAAACATTTTCAAGTCATTAATTGTGTTAGGTGGTATACAGAAAAAAATCAATTACGAAAGGTCTCTTCCTAGCTCTTACCCAGTCAGCATGTGTCAGGTACTGTAATTTGTGGGTTACAAGAACAAGTGTCCTCTTGTCCTCTTGGAGAAATTTCAAAATCCCTTCCTGCATCAAATGATCACTCAAATGAATATCCAGTGCAGAGAATGGGTCATCCTAAATAAATCAAATAGAGTTGGGAGAGAGAAGAGGAAGAAAAGTTGTATTTAGAAATTTGTTTCTTCTCGAAAATTTTAGCCAAAATTATTGGCATAATTTTATTTCCCAAATTATTTGTAAATTATACTCTATCTCATAACTGGTACTTGTTAACTTAAAACCTTACAATCCTTTGTTGTTAGGCTTTATTCTCTTCTCCTTTGGTCTACTCCGATGAAGAAACCTGCCCGTTCTCCTTCCTTATCAAGGCCAATGCCTCCAATCCAGCTCCTGATCCCATCCATTCATACATCTTCCAAAGTCTTCCTTGATTATTCCATTTCTTTCTCTCATTTTTACTTTCTCCTTTCTCACTTAATCCTTCCTACTGCCTGCAAACATGCGAGAGTCTCCCTCTTTAAATAAATTTCACTTGGCTTTGCCATTTATGTTGTCCTAAATCTCTATAACTTTTCTTAGTTAAATATTCAGAAAGGTTCTTCTACACATATTTCCTCCATTCCCTCAGTTCTCTCCCATTTCTCATTCTCCTGCATTATTAATTCTGATCTTACTACTCAACTGAAATTTTGATTTTCAAGATGAAAAATGCTGCCTTAAATACTAAATCAAATGACTTTTCCCTCTGCTTGCACCCTCTGATGCCTTTGACACTATTGATCAGTCCTTCTCCCTGACCAGTCTTTCCTGCCCTCATGGATTTTTTGACACTTCTCTCTCTTGGTTCTCTACTGCTTATCTGATTGCTCCATGTTTATCTCTTTTCCTGAACCATCATTCTTCTCCAGCCCATTAAATAAGTACTCAAAATGTCTGTCTCTCTCTGTTCTACTCTTTGGTGAGTTTATAAGTTCTCAGGGGTTCAGTTATCATTTTTATGCAGGATACTGCACAATCTACGTACCTAGCCTTATTGTCTTATTTAAGTTACAATCCTGTATTATCATCTGCCTACTGGCTATCTCCAACTGCATATAGGTAGATATAGGTATTTCAAACTCAACATATCCAAAGCAGAATTCCTCATATTTTCCCAAAATGTATCTCTTAGCAAGACAATAATTCTATTAAGGTCAAAACAATCCTTGGCACAATCCTTCAAATCAGTGAGATTCAAATCCTGAGGGTCACTTTATTTTTTCCCTTTCAATACCCATATCCAAGAAAGCCTTGTCAATTTTTATAATTACACCTCTTATATCTGTCTCCTCTCTTCTCTTATATAACAAATAACCTAGTTCAAAATTTCTTATCTGGACTATTGGGCTTGGAGTCAGTAAGACTTAAGTTCAAATTTGTCCCCCAGACTCTTACTAGCCATATGACCCTGGGCAAATTACTTCCTCAACTGTACAATGGGAACCTACCTCACAGTGTTGTCATAATCAAATGAGATAATATTTGTAAAGTGCTTAGTACAGTGTCTGGCACACAGTAGATGTTTAATAAATATTTATTCCCTTTCCCCCCTCCCCCCAAAATAAATGCAAGGGATTTAAATACAAGTTAGTTATTATTCAAGTTATTATTAAAGACACTAGTAGCAGATGTGGAGGGGATTAAGAAAAGCATCTCATAAAAGATGGCATTTGAGCTGAGTCTTAAGGAAAGTAAGAAATTCAAAGGAATGGGAATAAGAAGGAAGTATATTCCAACCATGGAGGATGGCTAGTGCAAAGGCACAAGAGGAATGCTGTGAGTGAGGAGCAGAGAAAAAGCCAGTTTGGTTGGACCATAGATTATAGAAGGGAAATAATATGTAATAAAGCTGAAAAGTTAGGTTATAAAGAACTTTAAAAGCTAGAGGGGTTTATATTTGATCTTAGGGGCAATAAGGGAGCTTTTAGAGTTTATAGAATAGCAAAATGACACAAGATTTATTCTTAAGGAAAATCACTTTGACAGCTGTGTGAAGATGGAGTGTAATGGAAAAAGACTTGAAGTATAAAGTCCCATTAGGAAGCCACTGTAATGATTCAGGAAATAAGTAATGAGGCCATGAACTAACATGGCAACTGGTAGCAATTGGCAAGTTTATTAAAGGAGGGGGGTTGTAGGGGGCAGATAATGAGTTTTGTTTTGGACACAATGGATTAGACATGCATGTGACAAAGTGTATATGTGTGTATGTATGTATGTATGTATGTATGTATATATGTAGGTATACGTGTGTCTGTACGTACATGTGTGAGTATCCATGAGGACTGATGAGGTCACTGTAAAAAGATATCAAGAACAAAGAGAAGCAGGCCCAAGGCAGAATTTTAGGGTACAAACACACTGAAGGTAATAGGTATGTGAATGATAATGTAGGAAATGAGTCAAGAATATTCATATAGAGAGGAAGAATGTCAGAAGAGAACAGTATCACAAGAACTCAGAGAGAGAAGGGCATCCAAAGAGAAGGAGTGAACAGTGTCAAATGTAGCAAAGGTCAAGGAGGATGAGGGCAGAAAAAAGACCACCAGACTTGGTGATTAAAAGACTGCTGGCAACTTAGGAAGCAGCAGCTCCAGTTGAGTAATGACGTTGGAAGCCAGACTGCAAAGGAATCAAGGTTAGATATAAAGGCAGTGACCTGGTGAGAAAGGTCACCTCTCCAAAAGAGTCTAGAATAAAAAAAAACGTCATGAATCAAATCAAAGCATTGTGAGATGAGAAGAAAAGCAGCACCTCAGGGCAAATGGTCTCATTAGATAAAGTTGAAATTGATCCAGTCCATACTGTTATATGATGTCCTCCAGTTCATTTATTAGTACAAAAGTAGGATCACAAAATTTGGAATGTGAACGTAATTCAGGGCTGGGGGTTGGCAAGGCATAAGCAAAGACAGGATAAGAGTTAAGGAATTCAAGGTTAGAGGATAGTGTAGATTGAAACTGATTCACCAAAGGTTCAAGTTTGGGAAGGGAGGAGAGTGTAGCCAAATCAGGGGTAAAACCAGCTCAAATTATCTAGACAAATACTGGTTAAAGATTTTTTGAAGTGAAGATATTACCCTCTAGGTACAGATTAGAAACAATAATGCATGTTTTAGGTTCTACATGAAGCACCAATTAACACCTTCACCCAAATATGTGTTTCACCTGGTAGGATATGATTTATTTTAACAAGTGATAAGTAATGTTATAATCATCCACATTTCTGAGAGACTGAGAAAGGGAGCCATATTTAATATTTTTATATTATAATCAATCCATGCTTTCATCAATCTAGCACTCACTCCATAGGCAAATTGCAATTCGTCCACATCTTCTCATCTTCTCTTATTCCTATCATTATCTTTACATGAAAAATGTAGCATTCAGGCTGTCTACTTGCCCTATTCTCTAAGGTTGTGGCAGAAGCATTGGCAGTTAAACACCCTATGAAAGAGTGGTAGAGCTGTGAAACATGGTAGCTATCTCAAAAATGTAGATGAGCTTTAAAGAAAACAAGAGATTCTAAGAGGGGGAAATGTATTCCAGGCATGACAATGACCTTTGCAGAGGTACAGATTTAAGAGATACAACTTTATCTGTGAGAAATTATAAGATGGCTTGTTTAGCTGGCACAAAGATTGTGTTAATGGGAATAAAATATATTAACACTGGAAAGGTAAGTTAGAGCCAGATTGTAAAGGGCTTTAAACCAGGCACAGAAGTCTGTATTTAATACTAGAATAACAGGGAGACATTGAGTTTATTGAATAAAATAATGGTGTGGTCAAACGTGTTTTAGCAATGTCCCTTTAGCATCCAAGTGGAAGATGGATTGGAGGGAGGAAGATGATACATGGAAACCAATTAGGAGGTTTTTGAAATAGTATATAGCTAAAAAAAATAGTAAGAGTGATGGCTGTATGAATGGAGGGAAGGGAATGGAAAGGGAAGAGAATGTCTTAAAGCAAAGAAGGTCTTCAACTCTTAGAGTAGAGTTGGGGCAATCAATTTCTATTTACTTCTTCCATGCCTCAGGATACTTCAGGTGACAGCCTGCTCTCACCTGCATTTAACATTTTCCACTGAGTTGGGATGTGGGACGCATAAACACATGCAACTATTTTAACTTTGTATTTAAATCCAGTAATGGCCCTTGGTAACCAGCAGCCAGTCATGTAAATGGCCCTGAAGTTCCAATAAGCTTCCAGAAAATCCTAAAAACAATGGAGGGGGAGGAGCAAGCTGGTGAAAGCTGTTGCCATTCCTGCTGCCAAAGCAAAATCCTTCTCACTTATAAATAAACATCCCTAAAGTAATATACTATGTTAACAGCAGAACTAAGAAAAGTATTACAATCTTATATTCTCATTTACTATGAAACTCCTAATTAAATAACAAATGATCTTTACATGAGGAAAATTTCAGCCATTATATCTGAAGGTAGCAGTTATTTAACATTTCATTGAAACACTTAATAATAATTTCAGACCCACAGTAATAACTCTATGCAAATAAATAACTGATAATTTTAAAAGGCATAAAGAAGATCACTCAGTTGGAAATAAGGAAGTACAGTAGGATTAAAATTAATGATATTGGAAAAGTAGAGTTTTATGCCCTCAAAAGAGTACTCTATAGAAAAATGATATGTACTCATGGAGAAATAGTACTGAATTTCTGTAAAATATAGTTCATTGCATAAATGTTTATCACACTCTTGTATTTAGATAGCTGTCATGTATTTAAGATAATACAAAAAACCAGTAATGCCATATTTTTTTTGAAAGACCATAGCAACAACTATTTGTAACTGCTTAATTTTCTTATTTAAAAAATTCAACAAGTTATATGGTTGCTATTATTTACTAAACCTTTTATAACTTTAGTGAATAACCTTATGATTGGTCTCCCTTCCACAAGTCTCTCTCCATTCCAGATCATCTTCCACTCAGCTGCTAGAATGACTTTCCTAGGACAAAGATCTGACCACATCATATTCCTACTAAATAAACACATATGGCTCCCTGCTGCCTACAGGATCAAAGACAAAAATCCTTTTGGACTTTCAAAGCCCTT